TGTGACTCAAGGGTACTCGTGTCAATGTAGCCGAGTGGTTAGCGTGTCAAGCTACCGTCCTGCACTGTCGAGGTTAGAATCCCGCTGAGGGTGTTGATAAGACCAATGCGAGGTCGAAACTGCAGTTCACTGGTGCCTGGAGGAGAACAACTTTTGGGAAAGCAAGGCTATGTGAAATTCAATGAAAGCGTCAGCTTAACTCATATCATTGTGGGAAAATTCGACTTCCAGTCCTTCATCACCTTACACGAAATAGGGTCAGTACATCTCATTACACAAATTTCACATAGCCTTGAAATTTAATGGAAACGTCAGCTCAACTCATATCATTGTGGGCAAATTCTTCTTCTACCAGTCCTTCATCACCTTATATGAAATTGGGTGAATACATCTCATAATATATATTGCTTTAATTGATGATATTAAGACCAAGATGGTGTAGCCTCTGGTATGGTCGTAGTCTCCTTTCGATGTATAAAAAGGAGTCAAATGAGGAGTAAAGAGGGTAAAGAGTAGATAGATAGACCAGAACAGAAAGAGGAGTAATAGTGTAACCGTTTTCAGCAGAACGTTGGTTGAACGGTTGAATTCACTTGTCTCTTTGGCGAGTTTGTAGATTAGTTCGGAGAATGGCAAAACGTTTAAGAATGTACCAAGTCCGCTGTCTGATGCTGGGAATCATGACAACTGCTGTCAGACGACTTCGGACTAGCTGCGTTCTGCTAAGTCGCCCTGACAACAAGATCAAGTTGCAACAACGAGGACAACAAACTTCTATATTGCTTTTACAAGGGTAGACTGATACTTCTTCTGGCCTGTGTCAGCCATTTTCAGCTGAATATTTACCAGCAGCTTAACACTTGCGCTTGCCAATTGATGACAAGTTTGAGGCTACGGATGATGGCAACCTGACCTGCTAAAGCCCACGGTGGTTTTATCGTTAGACAATGAACTTTTGAACTAAGCTACCCGAAAAAGTGATGCTTTCAACGACTGTGGCTAAGTGGACTGGCCAAAGTTCTCCTCTTTCCCACCCGAGACGTATACCTTGCCTAACTCCACCCTGATAATGGAGCCCAAGCTAAGTTGAGTTCTTAGTGCCGTCCAGTCATGTACCAATCAGGCTTAATGAGGATTTTGTCCACTGCGACCTCTTCTTGGAATGGATGAATAAATAGTCAATTCGTAGTCCACCAGGTGACAAAGGGGGGAAAAGCGGCTTCTAGCACGAGTTGATATGCGCTTTGAGTGAGCCTTGCGCCTTGACATTGGCATAGTCACAAGCCGGGCTGCATCCCCTCCCAACTAACTGTCATTCAGGGTCCAGGGCGCAAGCCTTTCTTTGCTAATTAAACATCCTCGAATCTTATTAAGCCGACCGTTATCTGTGGCCACCAGTTTTTAGTAATTACTTTTTCGACATCCAACCGATTTCTTTGTCTTTACTTTCTTTGAGAAGCGGCCTCTTTTGGCTCAACTCTGTCGAAAAATCGTATCCTTCGCAAACAGGCCTCCTACTTCATTTCGGTCAGCGTTTCCGAGCCGAACAGCCTCGTCGCCCTGGTCGATCTCGGGGCGAGAGATGTTGCTGTGATAAAGTTTGCCAATAGTGGGTGGTGTGGCCGGGGATGGTGGCGAGATGTTAGTGACGATATCAATCCAGGCCGAGGAGCTGATTTGGCCTGACGATCCTCTCCACGACTGTGTGAATTCGGCCGGCCTGACTGGCCACCTGCAGTTGTCTACGGCCTCCAAACTCCAGGTTCAACAAGCCATCTTATGTCTGGACATATGGTTTGTCTTTCATAACGGTAGCCCAACGAGAGACCAATCCCTTCTGCCCCCTCGCCCTGATGGTCGAGAGTCGAGGGCCACTTAAAAGGGAGGTTGTGTAAATAAAGCCGACTGGAATCATGAGTCATGATAAGGCGTTTTCTTGGGACAGAGTTTTGAGTAAACTCGGGCTAATTAGATGCCAGAAGAGGCCAGTTTAAGATAACTGTATAGGCACGAGTTTTCCTGTTAACGTGCAGCCAGAGCTGTGATGGGAAGCGGGCGAAAGAAGAGTTAACTGGAGTTTCTCCGGTTTGCGGCTACTTTAAGATATGCTTATTTCATTTCTCTTTTCAAGTTGGAGAAAAGCGCCGATGGACAGACAGCAAAGATGTCCTCAAATCAATTTGGCCCGACAAGAGAGTATTTGGCCGAAAAGCAGTAAAGTTGAATTGAATTCATCTGTTCATTTTGGCTCAGACAACACATTTTGTGAATTTAGGCAGAATGGAACCCTTAAGTAAAAGGTAGAATGGCATCATTTGTCTAACACTC